TTTATCCAGCAGCCCAACAAAGCCTGGTTTTAGTTTAGAAAACATGCAAATAGAAACGGATGAACGGGTCCCCCCCTTTGGAATGGGGGTCGTTTGGCTTCATTGTTCGCCTGCAATGCCCCATACCTGTCTAAGTCTCTGATGTTTACGGTTTTAACACTCAGTAAACCGGATCTTTCCAGGTGAATCACTCTCTGCTGCTCAGCGCCACCGGAGACTCCAGCTACAGGTTTGGAGCGACGTTTGTTGGATCCAAACAGGCGGGTCCTGCAGAGGTACGCAGCAGTCGAAGCTCCGCCCCCCCGGTCTGTCTGGGTTAGGATGGTAAAACCAATGATCTGCTCTGCTTGCTCAGTTCTTCCCGGTCATGGTGGGAGACATGGATAACAGCGGCAGCCTGAACTCGCAGATCATCCATCAGATCAGCAGCAGGATCCGCTCCAAAGTGGCGTTCCAGGTGAGCAGAGCTTCTGATGGCTGCGGGTTTCATGCGGGCTCCTGCTTTGATGCTGATCTGTCCGCAGACGCAGCAGCAGAAGTTTGTGAACTGGCAGGGAGACGCCGAGTTCAAGGGAGATGACTTCACGGCGGCGGTGACGTTTGGAAACCCCGACGTCCTCGCCGGCTCTGGTACGGCCTCCAGAACTCAGATCCAGTGGGATGTTGGGGAGGGTAGGGCGGGAAAAGGTTTTTCTCCTCAACAACCAATCAGGATGCAAATTGAATCTGATGGTTGCTATGGAGACTTGGTTAGGTTTGAAGATGTCCTGGCTTTTTTGGCGTCCCCCTTTTCCGGGTTGATCCGTTGAGTCTGACTGAAGCTCTGCTTTCATCAGGGATCGTCATCGCTCACTACCTGCAGTCCATAACTCCGGCTCTGGCGCTGGGAGGGGAGCTGGTTTACCACCGCAGGACCGGAGAGGAGGGCGCCGTGGTGTCGCTACTGGGTCGCTACACAGGTGAGTCCCACCGTCGGCTCGCCGCCGAACCGTCCACACGTTTCCTGACGGCTTCCCTCTCTGCAGGCGGTAACTCCATCGCCACGCTGACCCTCGGCTCGACCGGAGCTCACGCGTCGTACTACCACAGAGCCAACGACCAGGTGACTGCCTCCGCCGTTGCTACAGCAACCGCTGTCTGCAAAACTCTTTTTTTTTTTTTGATGTGCCTCAAACTTCTCAGCCTGTTTTTATTTTGGTTAGAAGATGTGATGCAATGAAGGGATGTTAGAAGCTAAAAGGACCCGTTGACCTTTGACCCCTGCGCATCTCTGTTGTCCTGCAGCTGCAGGTCGGCGTGGAGTTTGAGGCCAGCTCCCGGACGCAGGACTCCAGCGTGACGTTTGGCTACCAGCTCGATGTTCCCGGAGCTAACCTACAGTTCAAAGGTCAGCGATGTTCAATTCAACTGATGCTGCTCAGGGTTCCTGTGGTTAGAGGGAGAAAGCCAGAGGTTACCAGGACCCCTGAAGCTCCGCCCCCTGCAGGAAGCAGCTCGTCATGACATGGGCTTAGGGTCAAATGCAGCTGAAGTTTGATGTATTCAATTTCTATTCAGTTTATTTCTATAGCTCCAATTCACATCATGTCATCTCAGGTCACTTTCCAGTTCACCAGATCATCCAGTCAGATTGATTCAAAGTTTTCTATCTAAGGAAAACCAGCTGATTGCATCGACTCATTGACTCTTCAGCAATCCCTCACACTAAGCATGCTTGTAGCGACAGTGGAGAGGAAAAACTCCCTTTGAACAGGAAGAAACCTCCAGCAGAACCAGGCTCAGTGTGAGCGGCCATCTGCTGAGGCCCACTGGGGTTCAAGGAGACAGAAGCAGACATAGAAAAAGAAGCATAGATACAAAAGGCAACTGTCAACCAGCTCCACAGGCGGCCCCGTCCAGGAAACACACAGCCAGGCAGACGAGCTCCGAGCCAGCTCCCATGTCAGAGGATGAAGAGAGCACATCCAGTTAGTCAGAGAGACAGTTAGAGATTGAACTAACAGATTCTGCAGAGTGGGAGAATAGAGATAGAATGAAGCAGAAAGATGAAAAAGGGGTCCCTATGTCCTCCAGCAGTCTAAGCCTATAGCAGCAGAACTGTAGAGATAGCTCAGAAACAGCAGTGAACCAGGAGGCTGTTATCAGGTTCTGGTGAGGATGATGTAGAGGAGATGTTCTGATGCTGTTTTTCTGCCTCCAGGTTCCATTGACAGTAACTGGGTTGTCGGAGCGACGCTGGAGAAGAAGCTGCTTCCTCTTCCTCTCTCTCTGGTTCTCTGCTCCTTCCTGAACCACCAGAAGAACAAGTTCCAGTGCGGCTTCGGCATCACTATTGGTTAGAACCCAGGAGGGACTCGGACTCTAACGGTTCTGCAGCGTCAGCGCCTCAGCCGGTCTGATCCTGCTGCGTCCGGCTGCTGGTCGTTAGTAGAAGAGGAAGTCGTTAGCAGCTTAAATCTGAAGGATGGGCGGAGCTTCAGTCTGAAGGACGGCAGATATTCAGTCTTCCTGCTCCGATTCTCCTTCCTGTAATTTTTATTTTATTTTATTTTGGTTTCTGAAGGACTTTTATCTTTTCTTTGAAGTCCTGAACCGTTCCAGCTGCACTATATGAACCTCCTGCTCTGATGTTGGTTCTGTTAAACCCGTTTGGATCGACTGTTTATTCCTCCTGCTTCGTGTCAAACAGTCTTAAAGAGTTTATTTTCCTTTTTTACAAAATCTTCAGTCTCTCTTCTTTTAGTCGGTGAGATGAAAACATCAAAGAAACATTTGTTCAAAGGTATAAAGATTTAATTAAAGTTTGAATTATTTTTAATCAGAGCATTAAACATGGATGGTCTCTGGTGTCTGGTTAGTGGATTTCTGGCTGTAACTGGTTAGACTGGGCTCTATTTTTATCTCCATGCTATGCTTAAGAGTTTTATTTTGAAAATCTTTTGGAAGCCATGAAATATTTTCTTTTTTTTTTGTCATTTTTTGTGTTTCTCATACGATCCGTTCTAATTTGTGGTCGTAAAGCAGAAAACTTGGAAGTTTTCAAAGTATTGGAATATATCTGAAAGGCAGTAATATTGCTGCTTATCATTCCCAAAGAAATAAAGCTTCAAAGAGGCTTTAAAGCCTGGAAACATTGAGTCTTTGGCACGGCGGAGGCGTCGTCATGTTGTGGGAGAAACATGATGAAAAGGAATCCATGCCTCCAATGTTATTTTTAATTGAATTTGTCTAACTGATCAATGATTCCAAACTTGCGTAGAGTTTTAGTTCAGAACCACAGATTTCCCTCCTAAATGGGCCTGAATCCTCCTGATGGGCAGGAAGTCAGGATCTGAATTTGAATCGAGTCACTGAATCTGCGTTTGTGTCATTTGAAGTCAAAATGCGTTAGTTTGAAGATAAATTTCACTCAATCTGCATTTAAAGGAAAAGTCGTTAAGGAATAATCAATGGATCATTATTTATACTTAAAACTACCTGTGGCTCCTCCTCTAAATAGGTGGGCTGGTCCTAAAATATGGACTGGATGTGAACCTGGTATGTCGTCTGTTAGCACCAAGGCTGTGTTTAAATAGCGGACTGGATTTTTAATCAGCGTGGAATTTTTATACATAAATAATTGGAAAGGAGTTGAGTTTTAATGTCCATCATTTCTTAGCATGGAAAAATGGGGATAAGGAGTGAAGATACTGAGATGGGTGACAGTTGACAGGCCTGTGATGCTAACAGCGAGCTAACCTACAGCTATGAGCTAAAGACACTAAATTAGCATAGTTTGCCACCCGTGTTCCATATGATTAATAATATGATTGTGACATCTGTTAGAGCTCAACATGATGTAAGATAAGTTTAACTTTGTGTAAAACATCAGTGAATCTGTGTTTGATTGCTCCACAGTTTAAGGATCCAGGTTTTCTAAAACTTTCCTACTGAAATACATTTTTAATTCTTTATAGGGCAAGTTAGTGTTTTTGATCTCTTCCTCCCCCCCTACAAATGTAGTCCCCCCCCCCCTTGCTCAGTGAGGTCTAGAACAGTGGTTCCCAAACTTTTTTGCCTCAATGTACCCCTACACATTTTTCCACCCAGCTGTGGTACCCCTAAACTGACATTCTTTTATTTCACATTCTACTCTTCATTTGTGGAATATTTTTTTAATGTCAAGCATAACAGCATGCAGAAACTTTTAGAACTGTTTTATTAAAATAGTAAGCTGATTGTAACAACAACAAAGATCAACATTTTCCTAACAAACAAAATATATCCCAAATGGTGATATATTAACATAAATATTTTAGTTTCAAGAACACTTGAAATAAGTTTTGCCAATATAACCAGAACATAACAAGTATGGGCCTCAAACAAATACTTGTACTATTGCAAAAAATGCTGTCTATGTCAGTTTAAATGGGACACATGTGCCTGTCTCTGACTGCACAGTCTATTGATGAAATAAAATGAAGCCCCTCCTCTTAGAATATATTTGCTTACATCAAAATAAATTTACAAAATTGTTACAATGTAAAACTGTACATTCAATATAAAACTCTCATCAATCTATGAAAAAATCCCGTAGTGACCTCGCGGCACCCCTAGGTGTCGTGGCACCCACTTTGAAAACCCCTGGTCTAGAAGCACAAGATCTATATTAGCCATTCAGCATAGATCCTGCTACATGGCTGAACATCTTATTTTGGCATCTGACCAATTAGATGAGCCCTTGAAAGTTATATTACCTACTGGAAATTAAGTTGGAAAAAAAGTAAAAAGCTAATTGAAAAGGTAAAAAGTAAAGCTAAAAATTTAGTAAGCCTAGTTAACAATTATATTTAGGTTTATAAACTAAAAGATGTCAGTGCCAGTATCAGCATTAATGCCTCTAAGGTTCTGTTGGACCAAACAAAAAAATGCATTTCTTTCACTCTCATGTTTTTCATTAATTTCTTCTTGAAGCACTTTTGTTATTTTTCTTAATATATTCGGGCAAGTTGGCGTTTCTTCTTATTACATTGATATTAATTTTTATCCATCAGAATATCCATATTTTTTTTAAATGTTCCAAAGGTAATAAGATCTTGTCCTGGATTCCAAGAACATTATTGGCTGGAAATGTTGATTTCCAAAGTATTTCACTGAGCGCCCTATAAAGGGTTAAACATAGAGATAAAAAATGTAAACCTTTATTTTTTATCCTACAAAAACCTTTTTTTAAGCAAATGCATTCGGTTTTAAATTGTTAAATATAGTTTCAGTTTGTTGAAGATCAATTTTACATTAATGCATTTCTTTTAAATTACATAAACACAGATTCAGGAAAACTAAAAGTTAATTTTCTGATGCTGTTATTATTTTCTGCACGTTGTGTTTATTTGAGCCTCCATAGTTCTGTCTGAGCAGAACGGGATGACCTCTGACCTCGGATGACTCGGAACACATTGCAAAATATTTAAATCTGAATAAATATTTTTTTCTTAGAATAAGTGCATTTTTTTCTTGAATTGTGGAGGAAATTTAGACCCTTTGCCAATGGAACTAGACAATTTATATTTAGAATAAGGAAAATCAAATACATTTTCTTATTTCAAGTGTGTTTTATCTAGTTATCTTATTTTAAGAGTAAAAATACTCATTCCATTGGCAAATATTCTTAATTTAAGACATTTTTACTGATTTCTCGATCGTTTTTTGCAGTGTAAGAGGCAGAAACAAAGACTTTTGGAGGTTAAACGTTTATTTCTGCAAATTTAAATAAATGTTGACAGGAGAAGAGGAATGAGAAGGTTGAGAGGAACCAAACTGATCTTCCTTCAGAAGGTTCGGTTTGTGTGAAATACAATGAGTCCGAATAAATACCAGGAGTCTGTTTACTGGGTCTTCTGGGTGAAGGACGCCCACAGAGCAGCCAGCCTGTTCTTCAGGTCCTGAGCGCTGCCATCCAGGCTGGCCCTCAGGTCCTCCCCGTACGGAACCAGACTCTGCTGGATCTCCTGGCTCTTCTGGGCCACCTGGGTCTCGAAGCTTTGAGCCAAGGAAGTCACCCTGCCCTGGAACTCCTGCAGGCTCTGCTCCATCTTCTCCCTCACCTCTTCAGTGTGGGGAACCATGTGGGCCTGCAGCTGAGTCACGCCGCTCTCCAGCTGCCCCTTCAGCTCCTGGCTCTTCTGCAGCAGGACAGCCTTCAGGGCCTCGGGGTCCACGGCCTCAGCCAAGGGGGTCGCCTCCTTCTTCAGCTCCTCCACCCGGCTCTGGAGGCTGGTCATCAGCTGCTCGCCATAGGGCTTGATGCTGGAGCCCAAAGCGGTCAAATCGTTCTCCAGACGGGTTTTCAGCTGCTCCGCCTCCTGGTTGAACCGGGTCAGGAAGTCCTGGGTGAGAGGAGCAGCCTGAGTCTGCAGGGATACGATGTACTGGTTCACGGCGTCGGCGCTCTGGGAGATCTTGGTACTGATGGAAAGAAAAGCCTCTTATTATCCCACTGTGTTCTGACCCATTTTCCCATCCAGGCAGCCAGACTGGACCAGAACCACCCTAAGTGGCTGCCTGGAGGAGGATCCAAAGAACTGAACCGTCACAGAAATCCAGTTCTTACTTCACTTCCTGTCCAAGTTCGGACTCTCGGATCTGCTTCAGGGATTCCTCAGCGGTCTGCGTCGCCTTGGCAACGTAGTCCCAGAAAGCGTCCTTCACCACCTCCAGGTTGGTCTTCGGAGGCTCGCGCCACAGGATGTTGGCGTTACAAACTGTGGAGGAAACGTGCTGGTGAAGATTCTCAGTCATGTAAAAAGTTATAAACATTCCACTGGACTTTGTTTGCAAGTTTGAAGACGTTTCTCTTCCATCCAGGAAGATTTTTCAATTCTAAATGTCAGAAATAGCGTTTAGTTCCAGGTTTTGCAATGCCCCATACCTGTCTATGTGTTTAAGGTTGGTATGAAAAACTTAAACAGAGGGGGGGGGACCTCACCTGTTCAGCCAGGCCAACTATTCCCTTTCAGAGACTTAGACAGGTATGGGGCATTGCAGGCTAACAAAGAAGCCAAACGACCCCCATTCCAAAGGGGGGGACCCGTTCATCCGTTTCTATTTGCATGTTTTCTAAACTAAAACAAGGCTTTGTTGGGCTGCTGGATAAAACCTGGAACTAAACGCTATTTCTGACATTTTGGATTGAAAAATCGTCTTCAAACTTAAAAACAAACTTCAATAGATTGTTTTTTGGACTTTTTTTGGAATATGGCGGAGCGTCACGTTAAAAAACTGGAAAAAAACTCCCAAGATTTGCTCACCTGAGAAAAGAACCAGAACCACCAGGAGCTTCATGTTTCTTCTCTGTGCTGCAGAATCAAAGACAATCGTTCAGATCCAAAGCCAAGCCTGCATTGATCAGACAGAAACCAGAGTTTCACCTTCCAGAAGCTGCTGCTGCTTTCTCCTTCAGTGTGGGGTCGGTCTGCTCTGCACCGCCGGGCCCTCCCGGGTTTTATAGCCCCGTTTGAGGGTAAAGTCCTGCTGGAGCTGCACTGTTGGACACATTCCTGTCACCGCTGTCATTCCACATCACAATGTGGGATCATCCCCTGAATCAACAGCTCTGACCAGCTGAAACCACTGGAAGGGCGTCACATGCTGCAGCAGCTCTACGGGCGGTTCTGTTTGGACCCACTGGCAGGTCCGGTTTCAGCCTGCTTTCCCTTCCTGCTCGCTTCCAACACATCTGAGCAGAAACAACAAACACATCCTGCCCTCCTAGTTCAGCTCAGCCGGTGGCCATTTTATTAGGCACAATCACAGGCTGGCATTTTGAATTCAAAGGACCAGGAGGGGATTAGAGCTCT